CTGCTCGACAGAGTGTATGGGTAGGATGGGCGCCGTCTTGCGAACCATAATAATTGCGTCTCCCAGCGCCGTCCGCTGCGGCACTTCGCGCTCCGATCTGCAACTGGCCCTCAATGTTGAAACAAGGCCTATCTGGGCAAGCAGAACTCTGCTGTGCAGGCAGCACTGCACTGCACACCACCAGATCCATGCAAGAGCGATCCATTGTGCAGGCGCAGTCAAGGCAGGTGAAGCCTCCACTTGTCACCGCTCAGCAAGCCCTAAGCATAGGGCACACGCGTTGCTACCACAAATCCGTAAACTGCCGCAATCACGTGACCGCCGCACTCAATACCTACGTACTCTCGCACACGCGCAGGGCGCCGACGACGTGGCCATTTTCCGGCCGCTGCTGGTGGGCAACGTGAGCGTTATGAAGCTGGCGGTGGAGCCGCTGCGCCCCGCGGAGCTGCCCAAGATGGTGGAGGGGCTGCGGCGCGTCAGCAAGACGTACCCCATGGCCGCCACCAAGGCAAGCCTGTTTTGACTGAGATGTCAGTGGTGTTCTGTGCTATATGCTCATGTGGCGTACGTGACGGCACTGGGGCAGGGCGGTGGTACGATGGCGCAGGTGCTGCTTGAAGTATCGGCAAACTGGGGCAGAACGTGGGGGTTGGGTGGTTCCGGGCGGTATCACAATGTGCCTGGCCAGGCCGGCTGTGGGTGGGCTGCGGCACGTCAGTAAGACATACCCCATGGCCGTCACCAGGGCAAGCTCGTGTTTCATGGGACGTCGACGATGGAAACGAACCGAAAGATCATGAGCTCTAGGTGACAAGTGTGGTTAGCCGTCTATGTGATATTTTGTGCTATTCTTTGAGTATGATGCGGGCGCGGGGGGCGCTGCGACGCGTCAGGCAGCTGTACCCCGTGGCCGCCACCAAGGCAAGCCTGTTTTTCATGGGATGTTGCTACTACTTGTGCTGTGCTTTTCAAGTGTACTGCGGTCACGCGGGGGGGCTGTGGCGCGCCAGCTAGAGGTACCCCATGGCCAGTTCAAAGGCAAGTATTTCATTGGATGTCTATGCTCTTGTGCTATATGCTCTTGAAGGTACTGGCACACTCGGCAGAACGGGGTGGTTCAATGACACAGCGAACTTGAAGTACCAATAACAGCATACTGAAGTAACGGCGCACCGGGCACAGCGTGTGGGAAACAAAAAAGGACTGCAGGCAGAGCGTGCGGCTTTGATTGGTACTCTCATGTTTGGTGCATGACCTACCTCCCATTCGTGCAGACGTCATTGAGACCGGTTCCCATACTGTATAGCCTTTCACTAAGTAGGGCAGGTAGACAAGAGCGGCGAGCGCACATACAACCTGGCAGGACTCATCAACAAGAGTACTGACGCAGCGCTTGCTCACGCCTCTGGCAGGGCTCGGCAACAACAGTACCCTCAAGTACCCTTGCGCTGACACCTCCCCCCCCCCCCCCCCTTCCCCCCACGCATCCGTACCGACAGGTGGAGGAGAGCGGCGAGCACGTTATCTACGGCACGGGCGAGCTCATGCTGGAGTGCGCCATGCACGACCTGCGCGAGATGTACGCGGAGATCGAGGTCAAGGTCAGTCGCGCATAGAGCAGTATACATGTGTGCACGCGATGCGTGGACGAGTGGCTCGTCATGTCCTGCGCCCGTCGCATCTCCACGCACGCGCAACGTTCATCATTTGACCGCGCCCGCTGCGCGCGCGCGCGTCGCCCAAGGTGGCCGACCTGAGCTGCACGATCCGTGAGCCGTGTTGAACTTGAACGGTGAGGCGATCATGACACCGCGCTCCTGCATTTTCCACTCGCCCGCGCGCCGCTCCAGGTGGCGGACCCGAGCTGCACATTCCGCGAGACGGTCGTCGACACAAGCAGACTCGTGCTCCACGTCATGCTCCACTTCAATGTTGAAGCTTGTAGTGTTACCGCACCCGCTGCACTGTTCACATGCGCGCGCGCGCCGCCCAGGTGGCGGATCCGAGCTGCACGTTCCGTGAGACGGTGATCAACAGGGGCAGAGTGCCTGTGCTCACTTCCAATGTTGAAGTTCATTCTGCTAACGCGCCTGCTGCATCTCTGCGCGCGCCCCAGGTGGCGGACCCGAGCTGCACGTTCCGCGAGACAGTGGTCGACACGAGCAGCCTCAAGTGCTTCAGCGAGACGCCCAACAAGAAGAACAAGCTCACTATGATCGCCGAGCCGCTGGACGAGGGGCTCGCGCAGGACATTGAGATCGGCGCCGTGTCGATTGACTGGGTGAGCGCTGCCGTCTTGCTGTTGTGACCCACTGTCGTAGAGAGTCGGAGTCGAGTAGATGAGGCAGAGTCGCTTGACGAGGGGCTCGCGCAGGACATTGAGATTGGCGCCGTGTCCATCGACTGGATGAGCGCTGCCGTTTGAGTAGGGCCAGAGACGAGTAGGTGAGGCAGAGTCGCTGGACGAGGGGCTCACGCAGGACATTGAGATCGGCGCCGTGTCCATCGATCGGGTGAGCGCTGTCGTGTGCTGTCATGACTCGTTGTTGTAGAGTCTGAGTCGAGTATGCGTGGCAGCGAGGGCCTTGCGCATGACCTGGAGTGCGGCGACAGTGTCCATCGATGGGGCGTTCCTCCGCTAGCACCACCTCCCTGCTGCTGTAACCTGCCCCACGCAGAGTTGGAGTCCAAGGAGGTGAGGTAGCGGTGATTTGTCGGCTCCTAGGACCGATTGCGCCATGATCGCCGAGTCGTCAATCAGGGTGCCACGTACCGTATTCACCCGTGGATAGCCCCCCCCACCTTGAATAGCTTGGGGGGGGGCTATTTGGCTGAATAGCCCCCCCAAGATAACGATTATTTGATGCACACTGGCTTGCATGCAATAGCCCGGGGGGGGCGTTGAATAGCGCGGGGGGGGGTATTAATAAGAGAATTCTCGTCACGAATGAACAATTGTGGCAGCTACTAATGAGCAAAACACATGCATATGGTTGCGTTTGCAAACAGTGACACCATCTATGCCATCTGTGTTCGTCGGCTTGAGTTTTGCACGCAGCAGCGCGTGTCTACATAGCTTTACAAGAGCTCGGCCTTTTGGCGAAAGTCGTCAGTGCCCAAAAAAGTGATCCCAGGAGCTGTCGCTAGCGTAGCCGTGCTTGCGCTGACTGCCTGCAGAAGTAGCTTGCCAATGTTGCTGCTCGTGGACTGCGGCTTGGCCCCCCCACGCTATTTTTGCGGGTGCTCCGGCGAAAATGCCAGCAAATGACGCGGGGGGGTCGTTGAATAGCCCCCCCTGCGGTCATTACCGCATGCTCCCGGAAGCTAGGAACGTTATCGCGGGGGGGGGGGCTATCCACGGGTGAATACGGTACGTAGGTCACGAAGTCAGAGCCATGCATAAGAGCGTTGTCACTGCTCTCATGAACCGGCTTCACCGTGATTGCCGGCGCGCTGTGCAAATGCGCGCTCGTGTCCCACCCCCGTTGACGGCGCAGCAGTTGAGTGCGCACGCACAGCGCACGCGCGCTCTATTCCAGCGGCGCTCGCCTCCGCGGCGCAGGACTGCTGGACGCTGCGCGACTTCTCTCAGAGCATCTGTCGCCCGTGCGCGCTTGCCATCGCCCCGCTAGCGGCGCAGCGCCAGCGCTCATGAGCGCATGTGCCGCAAGCGCGCAGTTGCCTCGCTCCACCGGTGGCCTAGTGCAGGTGCATCATGAGGGCATCTGCCGCGAGTGATTGCACGCGTACGTGGTGCATTACTGCGTGAGTATTCTTGTCCATCAAGGACCGCGCCCATCTCGCACATGCCCGTGCGTGTTTTTCGTCCTTGTCGTTCGCCTCTCTCTGCGCAGGACCGCAAGACGCTGGGCGACTTCTTCCAGAGCAAGTACAACTGGGACCTGCTCGCGTCGCGCAGCGTGTGGGCCTTCGGGCCGGACGCCATGGGCCCCAACGTGCTGGTCGACGACACGCTCCCCAGGTGACCAGACTTGCTGAGCGCTGCCATTATCCTACCTGTGTTGTAGGTCGGTCATTGTGAACGGATTCACGGTGACCCGGCGACGAGCTGCCCCCCTGGAGGTGACTGGAGTTGTTGGGCGCTGCCGGTCCTTTCAATGCTGTTGCTCTTATTGTTGATGTCACTGCCTCCGACGTGCTGGTCGACGCTGCAATCCCCTGAGGAGTGCCTACCTGCACCAACTTGGAGGATCTCACACAGAGGCTCACTTACTTTCAGCATGATTATTCTTGGTGTTGTGGGCAGTTATGTGCACCCGCACAAGAATTTGTTGAGCCACAGAGTATTGGTCGACGACGCGAGGTGTCCAGGTGACCGGAGAGCTGTTGAGTGCTGCCAGTCTTTCCAATGCTATTGCTGAGTCGCGCATTACGCGTTGGGCCGTCGTATATCAACGTGCTGGTCGACATTGCGCTCGAACTCGAGCACCGCATAAAATCCCTACATTTCGCCTAGACAGCAGACATCATCGCTGAACTAGGGTCAAAGTGCATCGAGGGCTAGGCTTCGAAAATGAGGACCGGAATATGTACGACACCAACACACCCCTGATTGTGGTGAGCGCGACGGACACCCAGGAAGTGCATTGGCTAGTTGCAACAGTGCGTTGTCGAGGGCTAGTTGATAACATGAACGACAGCACTCTGATTGTGGATGGCAGTGCAGGACCTTGGTGGCTTTGCTTACATTGCGAGAAACACACTTATTATCAGCGATCTGTTCAGTGCTGTTGCGTAGACTGGCGCGCCATGCGTTAGAGCCGTTGTATTCAACGCGGTCGTCGACGTTGCGCTCGAGGTCGAGCACCACACTAGCACCAGACATCATCGCTGAACTAGGGTCAAAGTGCATTGTCGAGGGCCAGGGTTCGAATACGACACCAACACACCTCTGATGGTGGTGGAAGTGTGGATGGCCATAGTGCAGGATCTTGGTGGCTTAGCTTAGATTGCCAGAAACGTGCTCGTCATTGACTGACAACATGGCCGAGCGGTCTAAGGCGCACGATTCAGGTTCGTGTCTTTATTGGCGTGGGTTCGAATCCCACTGTTGTCATACGATTTTTCCTTTTTCTGCTCAAACATTCATCTTTTTTTCCAAACAACACCTGTTGCGGTACCATTTTCTTCCTTGTTTTTACTGAAGGAGGGGCTTCATGCTTCCACAAAGTGCATGTTGTCCCGTGCCGACACACGCTGTTCGTCAGTCTACTGTACTTTATTTTCTTCCGCTTGAGGGGCGGAAACCCTATGCAAAAAGGAAAACATGCAACTCGTATGTACACCATGAGCTGTATCAAGGGTGTATCACATGCACTATCTACACAATCAAAGGGTCACTGACCGCCAAGCCAACTACAGATGGGCTTCCGTGAGGAGTTCATCCCCCTCAGCAACCCCCACTACTGCCGCTACGAGTTGGCGCCGCTAAACCAGGCCCGCGCACGCCGGTCTTCCGCGTCTCTCAGCTGCGTCGCCCGCGCCGCCTGTGCACCGTTGCTGGTGCACTTCTCCTCGCAGCGACTCGGCCTGCCGCCGCCGCCGGTGTCGCCGGGTGCCGCTACGATATTTGGGCACCGTACAGACCAACCGCCCTTGTACGCAGAGAGCCATCTCAAGCCAAGGTTGCCAATGCTGACGCTCCGCGTGCGTGTCTGTGTGTCTTTACCTTGGTGGCAGCGAGGTCGACCGCGCGTCGCTGGCGAGCATCAAGAGCAGCGTCATACAGGGCTTCCAGTGGGGCTGCAGGGAGGGCCCGCTGTGCGACGAGCCGCTGCGCAACACCAAGTTCAAGATCCTCGACGCGGTAAGCGCCGCCTTGAAGTTTGTCATGACACTGTTGAAGTCGATGAACATGGATAGCCACACGTCAGAGCAGCGTGCAAAGAAGTGCATCCTGAAGACGATTGACAGGCACGGCCACAGGGCAGAGCAGCGCGCGAATACTTGCATCGTTTTGGTGCTCTTTCGTGTCCACGCGGGCGTTGCTGCATCGCTCTGCATTTGTGTCAGCATTTACACAGCAACGCCCCCCCGCCCCTGAGCTTTACGCAAAGAGATTTCGCAGAACCGCGCTCTTGATGCATGGCATGGGCGCGCTGTGAGCGATACGGCATCCATTTCGGACTTCATCGGCATGCCTTCTACACTCATGTCTTCCGTGCGAGTGTCGATTCCTGGGTACGGCATGGGGTCTGTGCCAGCACTTCACATTTTGCGCCAATGATCAACCCCACGCATCACACTGCACAGTAGGTAAGTCCACGCGTGCCTGCCGTGAGCACGTGGGGCGGCAAATCGCAGGGTTAGGGTTAGGGTCAGGGTGAGGGTTACACCAGCGGCGGCGCCAGGCGCTCTTCACACCGCCGCCGCCGTGCGACAATGGAACTGTGTGCCTGATTGACTGCACACACCCCGCCTGTCTACAACACTCCCCTGTCACAGCGCTCCTCACCGCAGCGCTCTTGATACCCGCTGCGTGCCCTCCTTGCCATTACACAGGTGGTGGCGTCGGAGGCGATCCACCGCGGCGGCGGGCAGATCATACCGACATCGCGCCGCGTCGCGTACAGCGCATTCCTGCTAGCGTCGCCGCGCCTCATGGAGCCCGTGTATGCGGTGGAGATACAGGCGCCCGCGGACGTCGTGGGCGCGCTGTACCCCGTGCTGCAGAGGTATGCATGTATGGGTGTACACTGTAGCATGCATTTGTTATACTATGGCACTCTAGTATGTATGTATCTGGCGTCGCCGCGCCTCATGGGGCCCGTGTACGCGGTGGAGATACAGGCGCCCGCGGACGTCGTGGGGGCGCTGCACCCTGTCCTGCAGAGGTACAGATACCATTAATCTGGGCTTTTTCGCGCCCTGAGTGAGAAAATAAATAAAAGTACATAATGTACAGTCATAGCACCGTATCTGTAGCATTGTAGTAAGTATTTCAAGTGTTCGTGTGGCGTCGCCGCGCCTCATGGAGCCCGTGTACGCGGTGGAGATACAGGCGCCCACGGACGTCGTGGGCGCGCTGTACCCGGTGCTGCAGAGGTATGCATGTATGGGTGTACTTCTGTAGTGGCACCGTAGTGTGCATCTGCAGCATTGTGGTACGTGCTTCAAGTGTATTTCTGGCGTTGCCTCGCCTCATGGAGCCTGTGTATGCGGTGGAGATACAGGCGCCGGCGGACGTTGTTGCGGCGCCGTACCCTCTGCTGCAGAGGTACGTGTGCATGTCTGTAGCGCTGTAGCATGTCCATTTCTATGCTACAGAAGTAGAACTCTGGTATGTACTTATCTGGCGTCGCCGCGCCTCATGGAGCGTGTGCAGTGGAGATACAGGCGCCTGCGGACGTCGTGGGCGCGCTGTACCCCGTGCTGCAGAGGTACGCCTGCATGTATGTAGCATGCAGTAGCAGCCGACCCTCACGCCGCGCTGCTGCGAAGGCTCGCGTGCACGTATACAGCGCTCTGCTTCATGCTGCAGAGGTGTTGACGAGTACTCAGGCCGTAGCTTGCCAAAACCCGGATGGTCGCTTTGCTTGTGAGTCGGGACTGACTCTCTGCGTGCGCTGGTTTACCCACCCCCAGCGCAGTTCATCAGATCACGCGCAAAGCATTGACTTGTCAACCGGACTCAACAAGTCATGGGAACACGCAGTGCACCTCTTTCAAAGAACGCAGGTGAACAGCAGCGGGGCAAGACAGCGGGGTAGGAAGATGTCAACAGCATTCGTTGCGAGTACCGCAATCACACCACCTTGTCTTGTTAACATTATGACTGCTGCTGCGTCGTTGCGCGCGCAGGCAGCGCGGCCTTGTCGTCCAGGACAGCCCTGCGCAGGGCACACCGCCGTCGCACGACCACCGCTCGTTCTCAAATCCCCGCACAACGCTCTGCTTGTACGCGGAACTAACCCTTTGTGTGCGCTGCCCGCTGCCGCCGCCGCCGCCGCCGTCCTTGCGTGCGCAGGCAGCCCTAGCGTGGGTGCGCTGCGTGAGAGTTCGCAGGCCACCCTTCCCCTTCCGCTGTCACCTTTGCACAGCCCGGACGGTTGCTCTGCTATAGGTGGAACTAATGCTCTGCGTGCGCTGCTGTCGCCGCTGTCGTTGCGTGCGCAGGCGGCGCGGCCACGTCGTCCAGGACAGCCCCAAGCCGGGCGCGCCGTTCTACACGGTGCGCGCGTACATCCCCGTCATCGACAGCTTCGGCTTCGAGACGGACCTGCGCAGCTACACGCAGGGGCAGGCCTTCTGCACGCAGGTCTTTGACCACTGGAGCATTGTCCCGGGGGACCCCCTCGACAGGTCAGTCTTCCTTTCTCTCTCTTTCGTGCGCACTTGGGCCAGGCAGGGGGGGCAGTGTAGGGGGTGGGTATCAGGAGGGCCTGTTGCGTGGTGTTGAGGGGGTGCGGAGCCCTGTAACTGGAATTGCACGCGCAGGTTGTGTGGGGGGGTGCTTCTGGCGGCGCACCGCCGCCGCAGCCGTCCACCGCGTGTGCTGTGGCGCAGTGAGCATTTTATTGTCGCGTAACCGCCATCACAATCCCTGCACACGTACGCGGGGTCTTGTCCTCATGTCCTTCTGCGCAGACAGAGCCCATGCTTCATTGAAGGGTCGATGCAGCAAACGGTCATGTACTTGGCGGCTATCACTGTACGTCTTCAACGAACCGCTGGCCGCCACCCCCGTCTCGCGTGTGCCGCCGCCGATACGTCACGCTGCACGCGCTCGCTAGCGCTGTCGGGCCGCATGCGTGGTTCCTCATAATGTCTGGTTCCACTTCTTTTATTGTTATTTTCCAGGCCAACAACTGGCAACCGTCACAACCTGCCTTCATGTGTACAACGGCGTCGCCGGCCCTTCCTCACCGCGCTGTGCGCTGCACCCGCAAGATCAGGGTGTGCACCTGCGTTTTCACCAAACGATTAGTCATCGATAATCGCAACCATTATGTAGTGGCCAAACTGCACTCAAAGTTCTGCTCTCGTCGCAGGAACATTGTGCTGCACCCGCTGGAGCCGTCGCCGCTGCAGCACCTCGCGCGCGACTCAACGAATCTCCAGCAATAATCAATCTTGGATAAATCGCTACCTGTTCTAGCGGCCACAGATGCTAATCTGATGCTCTTGCGCGCGCCGCGCAGGAACATTCAGCTGCACCCGCCGAAGCCGTCGCCGCCGCAGCACCTCGCGCGCGACTCAACGAGCTTTCACCACATGATCAGTCCTCAGCTATCACAACCTCTTACCGGCCAAAACGCTCTAAGTTCTCACACCATCAGTCATCAACAATCATAACGTGTCTAGCGGCCACAACGTACTGACTTGATGCGTTTGCGCGCGCGCCGCAGGAACATTGTGCTGCACCCGCTGGAGCCGTCGCCGCCGCAGCACCTCGCGCGCGACTTCATGGTCAAGACGCGGCGCCGCAAGGGCCTCAGCGAGGACGTCAGCATCAACAAGTTCTTCGACGACCCGATGCTGCTCGAGATTGCGGCGGCGCAGGAGGCGGAGCTGCGCGCGATGCAGTACTAGGGCTACGGTTAGCGCTGCGCGTGGCATCAGGGGGGTTAGGGGGGTGTCAGCCGATGCGCGGGGGTATGAGGCCCGTGCTTAATAAACACATGCACACACACACATGAACACACACCGACACACACACATGATCATGTGCGTACTCAACGTCTGCGTATGCATGAACGCATCCTGGCGTGCTGCGTCGTGGCCTTGTGCTACTGCTGGCGACACATGCCGGCGATCGAAGTACAGAGCACTGTGCGCAACGCCACGTGGGATGAGCGCCAATTCCTGTAGCAAAGAGGCCACAAGGCCACCCACGGCGCCGGCGGTCGGTCGCGACACGCATGCCCGTTGCGCACATTGGAGAAAGAACTACCAGTTGCTTTGACGCACTCACGCAGGGACGGGTCAGCTGCGCCATGATGTGTGGTCGGGCGTGTTGAACGGCGCTGCATGTGCGGGCGCTGCGGGCAGAGCGTGCCGAATCGCTTCTGGCGCATTAGTGGTGTTTGTGCGGACAAATCTGTTCCAGCGTGCGCT